TCTGCTGGCACAGCACTTGATCAATGTAATTCTCATCAATCACTCTAACTAAAAAGCTTTCTGAAAGAGAAAAAAAAGTTTTTGCACTCTGCAAACCTCCCAAAAACGGTCCGTTTTTGTGTGAAAATGGGCTTGTTTTTTTTTTCAAATAAAAGGCATTAATAGCCTTGGGGGGAGGGCTTGCAGAGTGCTCCTGCGGGGTGGGGGAGCCAAAAATGAGCAAAAATGGCCCGTTTTTTGTCAAAAAAATAGCATGCATAGCCTTATGGAGGCTTATAGAGTGCTGCTGGGGGGTGGGGGCCAAAAACTGCCCATTTTTTGCTCATTTCTGCCCTTCCCAGCCCCCAGGAGCTCTCTGAAAGCCTCCATAAGGGTATGCCCGGCTATTTTTGTGAAGGGGCAGGGCTTTGGGAGGCAAAATAATGCTGTATTCAATATATAAGACGCACCCAGATTTTCAGCCTCTTTTTTGAGGAAAAAAGGTGCATCTTATACTCTGAAAAATACGGTAACATCGAACCTCTACTTTTTATAAGCTATAAAGTAGCCATTTCTATAACAACAAATTAATCTAATCAATAAAACCCAAAATCAAAGTTTGGTTTTTTCCACCTCAAGCACAAAGTCCAGAAGTGGTTTCCATTTCAGAAACAAAAGTACTTATATTCTTTTCTTTGATCTAAATGATCAATTTAGCCACCTCCGCCAGAAGTATTTTACTAAATCATTTCCTTTATTTGGCCTGCACTATTTCCTCTCTGTTACTTTATACAGCACAATATTTAAAAAAAGCAAAGGAACTCAGTTACTAAAACCAAGCAAATAGTTTTTTCTGCAGTACTCTCAATCCTAGTAGTCCCTATACTATATTTGTTACAAGCCTGTCAGTATTGGATTGACTACCTCTCCAGAATTGGGAGCAGAAATTTTTTTGGACCTTCATCCAATCTGTATCAGGTTCCTGATCAGCTGGGATACCGAAGTACCCAGTCTTTCCGGATGTTCTTGCAATATACCACTATAACAAACAATGGTGCCTGGGGGATAAAATATTGTAACTGTCTTGCTGGAAAATGTACTATCATATTGTTGAGATACATGTAACACATTCATACCTTTTTCTTTCTTTTTTGTGTGTGTGTAAATGTGTTTTTATTTTCCATTTTCATTTTCGTACAGTCACATATATACTGTGCA